CCCCATCCCTGGAGGTGTTTAAAAAATGTATAGATATGGCACTTTGGGATATGATTTAGTAGGAATGGTGGTGTTGGGTGGATGGTTGGACTCGATGATCTTGGAGGTCTTTTCCAACCTATGATTCTATGATCTTGATAAGGTAAGAATATCTTCTTTCAAAGCTAAGAGGTATCTTATTATGACATGGTTGAATTGTTTTATGCTCTTATTATCAACTTATTATAATAATGTGAATCCAGAGAAGACTGAAAACATGAAGGCTTTGTCCTTATCAACTTTATTTTTCCCTCCCTTATTCTGTCTTTGATAACATCAGTGTTGTATGTCTAACAGACGTAATTTTTGAGAGATTTCTATGCAGAAGTGTTGAAATTTCAAAGCCAAGCTTTGATCTGGGCTGAAAGAAAACATTAAGAATGAGTATTTCCTGAGAAATATTGATCTGAGTTTTGCTAAGCTTTAGCAAACTTGAAAATTGTTGAATTTTTAGCTCAGGGATCAGTTCATCTGTTTCTCTTGGGAGAAGACTCAACAAAATTGCAGTAACGTGGTCTATACCCTGCCTTCTTTGTCAGAAATGTATCTAGAACTGAAATCTCTCGAGATCATTCAGTTTTTCCTTTTATGCATTGTTAGCTGGTCCTACAGAGCCATCCATCCAGTCCTCTTCTCAGGTCTGTTTGTCTTTCTCCAAGTGTTGCAAGAGGAATCAAGTTCTGGGACAATAAACACACCCTGAAAAATGCTGCTTTTTTGAATTGAGCACTATCCATCCCTCTTGCTTAAATCCACTCTGTGGATCCACAACTTCAAAACTTTGTAGCAGATTTGTATGATTACATAGTTGTGGATTGATTCACTCTCCTAGAGCAGAGGAAAATTGAATATATGCTTGCCTGCTGCGGGACATCTATACCCTATGTTTTTTAATCAGTGTTCATCCTCTTTCTACATTTATTTTATGGGAAAATGTTAGAGAAGGATGGAATGTTAGGAAGATGTTAATTGCTAGAAGCACTTACTAGACTCTCCTTTTGGATTTGTAGAAGTGACCACAGTACATGTAGAAGCCTCATCTACTGCACGATGTCTGCTTTTATGTCTTTGGGAGTTATTTCTGCTTGAAGGATATGTTCCTAGAGTACATTTTCAGAGGCCCTTATCCTTCAGAATTGGGTACAAGCTTTCTACTCCAGACTTTTTCAGAGAAAAACACAAAACAGATTTGACAAAAACAGTCCTGCAGAAATTCAAATGAATTTTGAAATCTCTCCATTTTGACTGAAAATGAAAATTATGAAAAAAATTGAATGCTTTGTCAATTTAAATAAAAATGATATTTTTTTTCCTACAGTCTCAATTTTACTTTTAAGCCAAAAGTTCTGAAATGGTCAAATACGCAAATAATATTTTATGCCAGGTCAAATGAAACATTTAATCTGATCCAAGACTTATTTTGGACTTTCTAATTTGCCAAATCTTTGTGGGTCAACTAAAAATATTTCATTTATTTTCTTGAATCGACAGCAAACACAGAGAAGTGAACCAGTTATTCACATAGCTTTAGTTGAAAAGGATCTTAAAATATAGAGAATTTGGTCATGAGAGTGAATGACCTCCAGTTCTAGATATATTCCCTCTTGGCTATCTACCCCAAAAGATTTGATTTTGCCTTCCCAGCCTGAAGTTTTACTTTCCTTGTGTTTATTATTTGATAAAGTGCCAGCAAATGTACTTGTAGGAGAACAGCAATACACCAAAGATTATTTTCTTGCTGTGTTAGTTGGATTCTTAAGCTGCTTGTGGCTTTTTTGATGCTGAAGCAGATTTTATTCTACTGTCTGTCTGGGCTATACCACTGCTACAACTCCAATGCCAGAAGTGGTGTGCACAGATGAGGCTAGAGCATAATTACAATTGTAGGTACAAAGAGTTTTATCTGATGCTCTCCCCCTGGTTAGGCTCATTACTTCTGGACAAAAATCAAACCAAATTTATTACTGATTTAACAATCCAACACTGCTGTATGTAGCATGCACTTATCTGCAGAAATCTCATTTTAAGCATAGAACTCAAATATTACATGTGCTTCCCTTGACAGGCTCCCTGATAAGCAGAAGACTCGTAGGAATACAGCAGCACTTGTGCGGATGCCAGAACTGAAGCGCTGGCGGGGTACGGCACAGCGCAGCGGGACAGGTTTGTGTCAGCTCTGCGAGCAGAGCTCGGGCGTTGCTGCAGTCCAGACGAGTCCATTAACCTCTGCTGACGCTCAGAAGCCCTCAGCTAACACTGCTTTCCTGAGCAATGATTTACTTTGAGCTATTACACACTGTTGTATGTTTCTGAGAGAGTATTCAAGATGCAGTGACTCGGAGATATGTGTTCTGCTCCCTTGTAAGGCGAGGCCGAGGGAGATAAATGGAATCGACTGATTGCAGAACAATAATCTCCTCCACTCCTCTGGCCTCTCTGAGAGGGAGGGAAAGGTTTGCTCACCTCATCTATACTTCCTTCTTTAAACTCCCTGTGTAACTGCGAATAGCTGCAATATGTCAAAAGCTACAGGTGCCAGTGCAGGCAGCAGCTCAGGTATTAAGTGGAAGGAACATTACATGAGCTTTTTAGCCAATTAACATGGCTGTAGGGGGGACCATCTGGAATAAATCTGCGAAGCAAGCAGTTCACAGAAACCCAGCAGGCAGCTTGATGGATTGTTGTATTTGTACAGTACTTCATTAGAAAATAAACGTATATCTTCCATCTCAAGCATAAAGCAAAAGAGTATTAAACCAGATCTCTGACAGTTAATACAACTGTCTCTACTAAATGACACTAAATTTGTAAGAGTTGTGTGAATCACTGTGAGGAAAAGGTTGTGAAAACTCTAGTGACTGCAGTTACGGGTCAGCACAGCCAAAACAACTGCTCCTGAGTTAATGTAGGAATGTATTTTTCTCTTGGTTTGTGGTTGCAAAAGACTGCTTTGATAACGTCATTAATATCAGCTGATGATTCAGTATGCAGAGAAGGAGCAAAGGAGCAAATCATGCATCAGCAAATTGGAATAAACCAGTCAGCTTTAGCCTGCTTCTGGAACTTCATACTTTGCTGTGTTTATATTTTTCTCCATTAGAGACCCACAGCAGGAGCCATAAAATTCGTCATTGCTAGATTTATTCCTGCCAAGCGTCTGCCGAATACACGAGGCTATAGCATAGAAATGTTGGACCAGGCTTGTAACGATGCTTCAAGGATTAACCGTCCACCCTCTTCCTCCTTAAGGCCATTTCTGTGTTCAGAGGATGCCACGGGTTGAACAGTTGGAACTGTTAAGATGGACAAAGCCCATCCTTGAAGATGCAGCAGCAGAAAGTGCCGGTTTCCCGCCGCGGACCCTGAGCAGCACCTCTACAGGACTGGTGTATTGGCCAGCGGAGCTCACCACACCTCTGCCCGGTGCTGGGAGCAAACCCAGGACTTCACAGAGCTGCTCCACGTTCAGGCTCCTCAGAGAGCCATGGCAAAGCACAGAGAATGTGTTTATCAGCCAGCTGAGGAATCAGCGGTGGTAAGCATACCAATACAATCAACAAATATGTGGCTCATGGGAAAATGCATATTTTATGTCAAAACAAATGGTTTTTCTACCACCAATTTGCATAAGTATACAGGGAAACAGATTACTTGCCACAAAAGCACCTGCTATTAGAAATAGGGTATTTTCAGGCTAACAAAATTTTCCTGTTTTCTATATCAGAAAATCTTAGCAATTAGTGTAGTAATCACAATAATATAACTAGTTGCAGAACATTCTAACAAGCTTCCATTTGCAAAGTGTTGCTCAGATATGTAAACAATGGGACTAGCAATGAGTGTAGGATTAAATCCGATCACTTTTAGCTGGTTTAACGCCACCTGATCTTTTCTCCAGAAAAAGAAAAAGCACTAATATGGCTAGAAAACAAAATACCACGTTTGCCATGGCTATACCTAACTAAACTAGCCCTGTTAAGAAACCATCAAATGGAGCGGAACACCACACATCTGCACCTAGCCAGCTCTGGACTTTTAGTTCAGGTGTCTTGATGCAGTGGCACATTGTGCTGTAGAGTCACAGCATATGCCAAAGTTGTGCTTATCAGTGTGCTCACGCCATAATTAATTAGGGAGCTGTTCTGAAGACCAGGGCTTTTGGATATACACAGTGATGACAACTAAAATGTTGGCATTTGTCAACAGTTACTTCACTCGAGGCACTACCTAAAGAGCCACAGTCTGCTGTATACATGGAACTGAAATAACCATGGTAACTCTGGATATATAGTGACATTTTAATGATCACTCGCACCTACCCTCAGGCCATCACTTGCAGAACTAAATGGCCCATCAAGAAGCAGATGAACAAAGTGGTGTCCATACCAGGCATGAAAAATGTTAAGCACTTTTAGGGATTAAAGCCATTTATATCTACCTCAGAAGGGAAAAAGGAGAGAAAAACATAATACAGAAGCATGTATTATGAGGAAATTATGATACCACCACGTCCTACTGCAACAACTGCCACTAAAATGTCAGAATCTACCAATAGCTAGCACAAATTGGTATCTAAGATACCAAAATTATTTCCTATTTTAAGTGTAAGTGCCTTTTACTACATGCCGACTTTATAAAAGGCAGCTACAGTATCAAAGGTTTTTCATGCTCAGTCACCGCCAAACTGCAGCCGAAAAACTATCAGTTACTAACCTCAGCAAATCTCAAGTAAAGAAGGGGATGCAATACAGTACTTTATTACTACTTTCACATAATCTGACTTGGTTTTAAAGAAAAAGACGGTGGAATGCTCTGTTATACTCTTTTTTCATCATTCTGATGAAAAGTTTTGTTTCTTAAATTGTTCAGGAATTATGCTATTTTCTCCATCATGAGGGAGAGGATTTGAGTGTATATAAATGCATCTGTAAAACTGTCTTGCATTTAGAAGCTTCACTTACCAAAATGAAGAGACAACCAGAGGCAAGTTTTGTGTGTTCAGGAATAGTAGAAAACACGGACAAAATCAAGCAACCAAACACAAGGAGAAAACTGAAAAAGAAAGAATATTAATAATTGTTAATATTTTTCAGAACCTTGACCCAGTATCTGTATTGATTCTACTTCACCAACATTAATAAAAGACTATCAATGATCAGTCTTCATTAATAGAAGGGAATTTGACCACTATGTAGTTCATTAAAGATATTAAGATAGCCTATTACTAAATCCACGTGCTTCTCAACAGCACGGGTAGAATTAATAGAAACAAACACAAGAAACAAGATTTTCTTGGAGAAATGACCCAATATACATAGACAGTACTTTTGGTATCACAATTCTGTACCTTTATGCAGTCCAGATACTCTTAGCGGATTTAAAGAAAGACCACCAACGGGAGAGTCCACTCCCTACTCTGAAAAATCACTTCTCCCACAACTGACCACAACTATCTGCTGTATTAGCTTATCGAAGAGCTAAGATACATATTGTACCTAACTGCCCATCTGAAACGACTTCCTTCCGAGCAACAGACTTCATGCACAAAGTACCAGGAGCTGAGAGGTAGTTGAGTTATGGCATCACTGCCGTAAATGAACAGGGTCCATTCTGGGAACAAATTTAATATCATACAATCCATTGAAGAAGTTAAAATAAAGGGTTGAATTAGGTCAGTCTTACACAAGTTGTGCAATTACAGTCGAGAAAACACGACAACAGTTTTGAGCTTGCATGTTTCATGGTACTGATGAATACATGCAGGCAAAGCAAAGCACCAATTTGCTGCTAAATCTCTCTGCGAGGAAGATGCAAACACCCAGTGTCACTGCAGAAACTCTTGCATATCCTGTGTCTGTTCCTTACAGCATACAGCACATGTGGCGTTTGCAGACATGAGCCTGCAGAGCTGGTATTGCTCTGAGGCCTATACTATGGATGATAAGGACTATCTTTTCCTATTGTACTGCTTCACCAATGATAATACCATTGTACTGTTGAAACCATCTCTGAGCCAGATCAGAGGAGAAGTTCATTTCACCCACAATACCATGAACTGACTTATCACCAGCCAGGCAGCACACTGAATGAGTGCAAGGTGGTGAATGTCCTATATTTTAAATTCTTGCACTGGATTTTTCAAGTAGTAATAATTGATTCTATCAATGTTTTTCTAATTTCCTTCTTAAAACACTTGACAGTCATGCTGGGCAGTGAGTCAACCAATGAAGGCCAGGCCTTTGGCTTTTGTCTGAATTGCTGGGACTCTTGCTAGCAGATGCTCTTACTCAGTGTGAATAGGTACTGTAATTAATGCAGATATATATCTGTAAGAAAGTACAAATGACTCCTTCCTGATACAAAGGGGACTCAGATCTCTTCCAGGGACAAAGGGAAAAAGCACAGAAATTACTGATCTATGTAGAGGGTGCATAAGCTCTTCAGTATGATGTTTCCATTAACCAACACAATAATTCTGAAGACATAGGAAGCAGCTTTTAAGAAAAGTGCTGGAGGGGGAGTGTAGGAGTGTTTCTGGTGGCCAAGTTGAACACCCCTCAGCAGTGTGCTCTTGTGGTAATGAAAGCCAACCCTATGCTGAGCTGTACTAGCAAGAAGATATCCAGCAGGTTGAGGGAAGTGATTACTTCCCACAGTTTGGCATCTGAAAGACCACATCTGGAGTGCTGTGCCCAGTTTGGGACTGCCCAGCATGAGAGACAGATGGAAAGACTGAAAAGAGCCCAGTGGAAGGCCACCAAGGTGGTCAGGGGCTGCAGCTCATGGCATATAGGAGGGGCTGAGCAGAGCTAGGTTTGTCCAGCGTGGAGAAAGGGAGGGTGAGACCCCTGATAGCTGTCCTCAGCTACATAATTCTGGTTATAAAGAAAGCAGAGAGGACATAATTTGCTGGAAGGAAAATTATGATTAGCTAGAAGGAAAAATAAAAGTCACTGTGAAGGTGGATCGGCACTAGAACAAGTTGCCCAGCAAGGCTGTGAAATCTCTGTCCCTGGAGACTTTTAGAACTTGGCTGGAGTAGGCAATGGTCTGACTTTGAAGTGAACTCTGCTTTGAGCAGGAGGTTGGACTAGATGATCTGAAGAGGCCTTTTCCAACCTGAACTATTCCATGATTCTAACTACTGGATAAAAACTTTGATATATTATTGCATCTGGCCTCGCTTGTGCTTCAGGAGCTAAAATTGCTCTCTCTCTTACAACATACAGACTTTCCATAGTGCTGTAATATAGTAATGCTGTAATATATCCAGTACATTAGACAAAAATATAAGTCCCTTTCTTCAGAATTTCTATTCGAAAACCTGATGTGCAGTGTGATAAAACATTGAAGGCACATTTTATAGTGTATCACTTCACTGCTGGAGAGAAGTTCTACTCTGAAAATCAAATCTGGTAGGAGCTTGCGTATAAGCTCTACCAAGAATTGTAAATAAAACTGTAGCTAGGATGGTTAAAGGTGTCTCTGGCACATACCATTGGCAAATCTATCTTCCAGACTGAAGAAAGACAAAGATCAGCATATATGTGTTTAAAGATTTCACAAAAAACTCATCCAAGTGACAAAAATCCACCTTGTGAGCAATTTTGCTCCCCTTCCCCACACTTTTTTCAAAAAGGAAAATCTCCCAGAACATTACTGGTAGTTTCAGCTGCTACAGTCTTCAGATACAATCCCCTATAATTACATCCTACTGGCACAGGCATAAATGTGGTTTCTCCTTGTTAAGGCTTGCAAGGAGGGCAAAATAAAACCAAGAAGTGACTGAGAATTTGCAGAAAAGGATGTAATTTTCTTTTGCTGAATTTCTTTAGTCCTGAATCCGTTAAAATTATATTTTCTTGCTTCCTTTGTGTTTAGGTATTAAAAATTGCTCTTGTTTAATTGTATTCCAGTAATAACAACTAAATTGGAGGCCCAGTTGCACTGGGTCTTGTCCAGACATACAATACAAGTTTTCACTTGGAAGAGATCTCTTATAGCATAATTATAGAAAACAGATGCAGCAGGAAAAAAAAGAAAGCTTGTTCCCATATCACAGCTGGAGATCACGGCACAGAAAAGGTAAGGGACTTGCCTAAGGCTACATGGAAAGTCTTTATATGTGGCATAAACCTGAAGCTTTTAAGTCCCAGCCCAGTCCTGCCGTCACAAAAACATCCTCCACTCACCCACCCCTTGTTTTGCTGTAGCTCCTCCGGACTGTAATTTAGAAGATCACTGTGGGCAAAGTGTTAATTCCTGATAGATGGGATAAGTAAGTCAGAAGAGGGAACCGGTACAGTTAAGCTGTGTATTAATCAAAATAAAGGCAAATATTGAGGAAAGCCAGGTGCAGTTTAGATTAGCACCTGGTAGACAAAGTTCCATGAAAAGCAGAAACAATCCTCACAGCCATACATAAGAATAGTCTTGGAAAGATATTTTTCCAAACCTCTATAACCTTTTGTTTTCAGTTTTTCCAGAAACTCTACAAGGAATGGAGCACTGTAATTAATTATTATTATTAAAGAACAAAAGAAAAATGTTTGCATCTATCCACCCACACTGTCAAATCTTACCCCTCTATCCCTCATTCCTCCCTCCAACACAGAACACGTTTTTTACTGCCATTCAGCATATTATGTCTAAAATTAGACTGTAAGCACTTTGGGGGGAGGGGAGAAACCCCATCCCATTAGCTTTGCAGAACTAAAAGCATACTTTTAGGTGCTGTAAAAGATACACTAGCAACAAAAGTAAAAGGATTAAGTGCTCCAGAATATTTTCTGTCATTTATTTACCACTGACATGCTTTCTTTCAAAGTAAACTAATAGATAGGATTCACTTTTTACCTTTTTTAATCTAATCTGTTTACTCAGGCCATGGAATGAAAGCACCTCTCTTTTTCCCCAGCAAGAGCTGAAGGCATGGGGGACACAGCAACGCCTTCCACCTGGCTGGACATTAAACAAGGATCTGTCCAGCAAAGATAAATCCCCAAGGTTCAAACACTGAAGTGGTAAAAGTGTATCAGAAGTTGTTCTTTCCTATCATGAACTATTTCTCCAGTGACAGATGAAGTGTGGGGGATTGCATTAAGCCCTGGGTAGTCATTTTATAACCCTCAATAGAGGAAAAAGTATTTTCGAATGCCAGCACTTGAACGGTGTGCTATGATACATGCTGTATCAGAGGATGCTGCTGTAGGTAGAGAGTAGTACTAAGCAAAACGCAAAGCAATTATATTTGGCCTCTAGTGGTACAATCTGGATCACATATTTTTTCAGGCTGAAAAAAACAGATGGTCTTTCCTCATGCGTTGAGTATCAGACAGTAAAACATATGCCTTAGGCAGTCACTTCCCATAAAATTATTCAAGCATTGCCATCGTCTTGTATTTTATGAAGAGCAGCAACTTCCATTTTGTTTCAGCAGTAATCAGTTTTGATGCAGATCCTTTCATCTTATTCCCCTGCTTCTAAAAGCATACACTAATTGGAGAAACGCCAATTTATGAAAGATAATATAACTCAGAAGCTTTGATATTTGTTCAATCTGCCTCTCATAAACTTTTCTTACTGGTTAATTAGGAACTACCAATTCTTCATTTATTTAATTTTCAACAGAATTTTACTACAGTTTGTGATTTAAGGGACGAGGTTGTTCAGCTTAAAGCAATTGTTAAAACATTACTTAGGGAATATTGTAAGCATAAAAAATGCACTCAGGGAAGATCTTTAAAAGGTATTTTGCTACATTATTTACTGCTAGAATTAAAATAATCAAAAGTTAAACATCCGCAAACAGTTTTATGACCTCCTCTGTAAATAATAAAAGCATATCACTGTTAAAGTGACATAATTAAGCAATTAGACCACCAGAGTTATGTTCTAGTATTATTTGAGGTCCAATTTAATCCCCATAAATGCAAGAACATTCAGGATTTTAACCAAAACTGTTTGCAAACCTTTGGCAGTGCCATTGTCCTAGATTTGGTATGGAAGGTGGAAAATATTTGAAAGCTTTTGCTAACCTTAATTACGACCA